TTATTATAGGCGGTTGTCATATATTGTATTATCCGAGTTGCGCAGTGTATAAAATAAACTGGAAGATTGAGATCAAAAGTGCCGACGCAGAATGAGCGATCTGATTCTTTAGCTATAAACTGAGACATAGGAATCAAAATGGTCGCGCCCTATGTTGGGCATGTCGGACCTCTCTCTTGCACCGTATAGTAATCAAAGTATGTGATTCTACCCCACTCCAGTTCATTGGTCAAGACAACAGTCTTACAGGTTTGCCATATCATAACCTGTCATTACCAATTATCCACGGGCAGCATTTGGACGGAGGCCCAATTTTCAAACTTGGCAGAACTGATTTCTTTTAAAACGTTCATGACAAAAGTCTTACGTTAACGTGAAAACAGTATTTATAAACCAAGTAAGAACTACTGACTATTGATTGTTCCTTTAGTTTTATTTCTAGAGAATTCAAATTCTCCGCATTTTAGTTATGGCTATAAAAATATAGTTTCCACGTTGACGTACATTTCTCTTGAAAATCTTGAGAAGATTCAATTTCTATCGACTTTAAAAATAGCCCACAGGTCGTTGGAATGCCTAATTGGAATGTAGCCTACACTGCATAATTAGGCATTCCAAACTGAATGGCTACCAGTGGGTTTTGACAGGTTATGATATAGCAAAATTATGGCAACCCTGTAGGCCTGGTGATTTGACAAGCTCAATGAAATAGATAGTTACATAGATTGATCATACATATTTTACAAAATAAACATAATCTTATATGCCTTGAAGTAAAAATGTAAGCAAATATTTTTTTAAATATCTAAAGGCTGAAAATTGGTTTTAAAACACATTTTTGCTAAACCGATTCAAATTAATAAATATTTGCCAGGCAATATGGCCGCTCGCAAACGACCAGCTTTGAGCAATCTATATAACTATATATGTATCATTGACCCTGTTAATGACAACATGACAACAGGATTGCCATATCTAAACTGTCAGTACCCACTGGTAGCCATTTGGACAAGTCGTTGGAATGCCTAATAGAGCTTTGTTTGCGAAGCGTGTCTGCGACATGTCCACGACAGATGAGCATGCCCATTTCGATTTTAAGCAGTTTTAAGCACAAAGCACATAGAGGTTCCACGTGAATGACCAAGGTCAAAACCGACAACTGACATTTTTTATGCTATTTGCTCCAAACTCTAGATGGGGCTACTGGTGAAATTATGATTTCTTACTCCATTTTTAAGCCTTATGGGAGAAAAACTTAACCAAAGACTCCAAAGATGTGACGTGTATTTATTTATGTTCTTGGTTAGTTTCATTTTTCCGTCTGATTTTAGTGATTTTTTGTTGGCTTTGGCTTTTGGTTTCTGTTTATAGTTTCGTCTTAGTTATTTGCAAAATTGTGATGTTTCGCTTTTTTATTTCCTACTGTGTTTTGCAATAATTTTGGTGCTACTTTGAAAACTTCGAGAAAAACTTCATTGATTCACCATATATTCACCATGCATCTGCATCATAAAAAGACAAACGGGGACAACAACTAATTGATAATCAATTTATCACTGGACTAGATTCCGAAATATGTATCACCATCTGTATTTGGAAGGAAAATACCAATATTACATTTGTCCTCAGTTAAAAAGACATTTATAAAATATATAACTTTAGTGTTAATAAAATGTAATATCCTAGTCTCTACTTCACATTTACATTATTGATAGGTATTTTAAAGATTTGAGATTATATATCTATTTGCTCCAAGTAAGTATTCGTTAAATATGTATTATTATTTGTATTTATTTTTATCTAATAATATTTATTTAATTTATTAATAAACATATTTTAAGAATGTTCTATTTTATTATTTATTGATATATCTTATATTTATTTAATAAAAATATGCAGAACCAACTCTCCACATTAGACCCCTTACAACAAATTAATTCTTCAAATTTGGTATAATCGACCTAAATTATTTTGTAAAATAAAAGTTTCGAACTTACTAGTTCCATACTTTATTTTATAAAATAATTTATGTGGAAATCATTTAAAATTTAATTTAAAACTACTACCTACTCCTAAAAATTACAATTTGAATGTACCGCCATCTGTCAATTGTCATTTAAGTTCCAGCTCCAAACACAAGGTGGCGCTAATTTGGTTTAAAAGTTTAACATTGGCGTGGGGTCTCTAGAAGATACATGCTTTGTGGTTTTAAGCGTTCGACTTTCGGCTGTACGAACGCTTAAAATCCAAATGTGCTTGCTCATCTGTCGTGGACATGTCGCCGACAGGCTCTGCGAACAAAAATTTGTGAAATTTTTTGACAGAAATCTAGGGAAATAAAAAGTTTGGCAACCTTGATTAGGGATGTTGCGATACCAGTAAAGTATCGATTCTGGTATCGAAAGGAGTATCGGAACCAAAGTATCGATACCGGTATCGAAAGGGTATCGGAACGAAAGTATCGATACCGGTATCGAAAGGGTATCGGAACGAAAGTATCGATACCTATATCCGAAAGAGTACAGAAAAAAAAAAAGGTCATAGGGTACACGCCGACATATCATACCATAAAGTGATCCTACAATATACATTTTGTAGTAAAATTATTGAAACAAAAGTAGTACCCATATGAGTAAAGTATCGAAAGCAAAGTATCGGGTACTAAGGGCCCTATTCAGTAATTTATCGTTTATGAACGACATCGTTAAGCTAACGACAGTTCAACCAACGACTTTTATAACGATAATTTTTGAAACTCTATTCAATAACAAAGTCGTTACGTTGTTTCTAGTTACCAAATCTGAACGATGATTTCTAGTAAGTTGGTATTATAATTTAGTGTTTTGTGATAAAAGAACGTATGTTGATGATTATACCGGGTGTTTAAATTAAAGTTTTACATTTAAATATCGCCAAAAATATGAATTTTATAAAAAAAAAGTATCAGACAGAAGTTTTATAGTTTTTTAGGGGAAACATTTTGGCCAAATTATTTTTTTTATAGCTGACCATAATATGGCCATATCGAGGTGGATTTTTTTTCAAATTGGAACCCTATTTTTTTACATAGGTATTTTTAGAGTTCATAAAAAAATAAGAAACTTCTAAGGACCGATTCCACCGTTGTGTTAAAATCGGCCCTAAAGGAAACATTTTTTTTATTGGATTTCTACTTTATTGAGTAACACCTACTTGAAAATTTTGCTGCGCGAAAAAAAGTTGGCCATATTATGGTTTGCTATAAAAAAACATTTTTAGCCAAAATGTTTTCCCCAAAAAACTATAAAACTTTGTTTTTTTTTATAAAAGGCGGTATTTAACTGTAACCCTTTAATTTGAACACCCGGTATATTTGACATTTTTTTGGAACTAGTAGATATATTCATTTGTTTTTCAGAATATATTAATTATTGTTCTTTGAACACCCGGTATATTTGACATTTTTTTGGAACTAGTAGATATATTCATTTGTTTTTCAGAATATATTAATTATTGTTCTTTAAACCTACAACACGATCATCAGGGGGTCGATTCTCGATTCGTAGTAATTCTGTTTCTCGCGGGCCATTTTTGCTGGTCTAGGGTTTATTTAAATGAGTATGGATATATTAAAAAAAACTGAGAACTATTCCATAAGAATACAAAAAACAACTCGAGAACAGTACAAGTTGTATTTATTGGATTTGAAAGACAAACCAAATTTGTGTAGGTTACGGAGAAGTATTATAGGTACTTCCATAA